AAACAAGCCACATCTGAAATGTCTCATTTTACACACCCTTTCAGAAATCTGTGGTAACTATGGGGTTTAGGGCTCTGGGCTTAGGGAGTTTAGGTTTAGAGTTTAGAAAAACCCTCTACATCTGGAGAGCCTTGTGCCGTTCCGTCGCCCGGGCTGCGATCGCCTCAGATTCGGCGGCGGCGGCGGCCCACCAGCGACCTCGGCGACTTGCTCGGAACGGGACGTTAAACTACACTAGGTTCTTGAAAAACAGAAAAGCGAAAAAGTAATAGCAATAAGTATGGGGTTGCAAGAGGCTTTCACAATCTTTGAATGGATTAAATGTGTCTGGAGCGGAGTTTTCTCGGGCAAGGTTTTCGGTGTCACACCAGCATTGAAGTGTCTTGGGGCTTCTCTGTCAAGAAATGTGGCTTGGTTCCTTAATGGCTGGGGGTTAATGTAGGGGCCTTTTTTATAATCAGAGTAGGGTTTGGGGGTATAGTATACTATAGGTATAGTAAGGAACCCCCAAAACCCAGTTACCTATGCTAATGCTGAACGGAAATATCACTCCCGCGCAACACCCAGAAGTTTGCGCAGAAGGAATCGTCTGTTCATGCAACTCTACACCCGAGGACTCAAAACGGTCTCCAAGCTCGAACCCTGACGGTTTGCAATCCACGCTATGTAAAACAAACAGCCACAAGTCCTAAACCCTAAATCTTTCCGTAAACCCCTAAACCCCTAAACCCTAAATCCTTTTATAAACCCCTAAACCCTGAACCCTAAACAATAAACCCCTAGACCATGAACCCAACCAAACCTTAACCGGCTTAGGGGAAGCTCTGAAGTAGGAGACCATAGGGGCCTTAGAAGTTAGAATAGAGTTTTGGGGCCCTTCTATGCTATAATCATAATAAGGAACCCCGAAATAATCTAGATAGGTAATTATTGAGGCCCCTATATTAACTTCGCAGTTACCGATCCCTTTCGATGCGAAGCGCCGCAAGCCCTTCATGTGTGGCTTCGATCTTGTCTTTAGGTGTGTTTAGGACTTCAAGGCTCCACAGGGCTCGGGGTTCAGTGTTTAGGGCTTAAGGTTCAGGGCTTCATCTAGCTTGAACCCCACCTCCCGGCCCAATCCCAACGCCGCGCTCTGTGGTCCCAACCGCCAACGGCAAGACTCACAGGCAAGTCCATGTACTCCTCAAGACGACTTGATCAAGACTTGGGCTTGAGCCATTGGTTTTTGGGCTGAGGGTTTGGGGTTTCGGGCTTTGGGCTTCATGTAGTAACCTGATTAAGAATCCCTGGCCTTATAAATCCAAAATAGTAGGATTCATATAAGGAACCCCAATAAAGGCCCAAGGTTTCTTAATCAGGTTCCTACATTAGGGTTCAGAGCTTCTTTTCGGGGTTGGTCGTACATAGTCCGGCAAGCAAGGCAGCAAGCGACTCATTAGACGACAAGGCTTCATGGCTCCCTCCTCCCAAGAACTTCATCCAAACGCAAGCAAACAAACCCATTACACTGGCTATAGCCCATGAATGGAACAACATCACCCGATCCCGTTCTCGATGCCTGGATCAGGGCCCTCCCGCGAACACCTCAGTTGCTTGCACGGCTATTTCTGCGTCCTTCCATAGGTGGCTTTCGAGCCGTGGACTAGCAATGGGGCCTGAAATCCAAATATGGGGGCCTTGATAATGAGAATCTGATTGGGGTAGACGATACTGTACTGGAGTAGTTAGCAACAGTGTCCCCTTTTTGTAAAGGTTCCCTCCCCTAACCCCCTGGGATGCTGGCTTCTTTGAAGCCGGACACACTAAACCCTAAACTTAACCCCTAAAACCTAGCCAAAAAAAAATCCTACACCCTAAAAGTGTCAACCCTCTTCCTCTTCCCGAAACCCCAAACCCTGAACTTCATGCAGTAGGGTTCAGAGTCATGCTGGGTGGGGCTCATGCTATTCCTCTGTTTGGAAAACCTTTATTGCACCCCATGCAACAAGAAGGTCGATCTCTATATACAAAGGCCCCTTTAAAGGAAGGACCAACGGAGATACACACATCCTAAACCCTGAACCCCAAACCCGAAACCAATAAACCCCTAAAACCTAAACCCTCAAGCGAAACTCTGCTTGTTTGTGGACGCAGCCCAACCCTCTGAAGCCCGAAATCTGAGTTAGGGTTTGGGGCTTCGAGTCTAGCACGGGTTTTGGGCTTGGGGCTTGAGGGTTTAGGATTCACTTCGAAGGGTTTGGGCTTAGGATTCCAGGCTTTAGGGCTTTGGGGTTAGGAAGTTTGAGCCTACATCCCAAAGCCCCGAACCTCAACGGCCCAGGAACCCGGTCAGACCCCTTTCATTGAGCCATCTCATACGCATTTCATCCACTACACGACGTTTACAACACCCGAGAAGCTTCCATGAAGGCCCCAAGAAGCAAGGGGGTGGTTATCAAAATTAGGGTCCCTTTTTGGGTCCGTATTATCGTATGGCACCTATGCTTTAAGGTACCCAAAAAGGGACCCTAATTTTGACAACCACCCAAGCGGGGATCCCGTAGGCCCTCTGACAAGCATCGGTTTTGCAAACCCAAGCCTGATAAATCCCTGTCGACCCCTTGTAATATAGCTGCCTAAATATTTTGGGGGTTCCTTGTTATAGCTATAGTATATTGGGCCCCAAAAGCCTATTCTAATTTTTATTTTAACCCCTATCATAGAACCCTACTATAGATCCCCTATAGACCCCTTTAAAGGATCCCATTAAAGGAACCACTATTCTAATAATTAAACCCTGAACCCTCAATGCTACCCTTAACCCTAAACCCTTCAACCCTAACCCCAAGCTCCAAACCCTAAACTCCTGAACCCTGAACTGGGCCACCAAAGCACGCACGCAGTTCGCGCGCAGGGCCTCCCTTAAAAAAAAAACCTGAACCCTCAGCCCCAAACCCTAAAACCCGCAACCCCAAAACCTCCCTCTAGGCCCCGCACCGCCGTCGAAGTGGTCTGCCCCGGCTCCCGGCAGCTCCCCACCTGTCTTCTTCTGGAGGGTCTTAAGGGGTTCGGCCGACGCCTTCCGGGCTAGGTTTTTTTTGAGGGCTCTTTTCTCATAGGGGCCTCTGCTTGTGCAAGTTACCGTTAACTCTCCTACCCCCCCGGGCCAGGGTTTGAGGTTGAAAGTCGATTCTCCGTATCCAATCCAACTGGGCTTGAAGCTTAAGTCTTTAGAAACTGGGTTCAGGCATCTTAGATTGTTTGGGTCTACGGTTTCGGGAGAGGTTCTGAGCAATAAAAAGGAATGAGAGTATCTTGGTTATAACAAAAGTACCTTTCTTGCAACCCTTGTCCCTAAGTCCCCTCGTTCTGTACGTAGGATCTAGAGATCTCCCCTCTAGCTGACGATGGGAGCTAGCAATAAGATGCCAGATATGTAACATAGAACTACCACCCCTGAATTTGAGGTCCAGAAGCTCAGGCCAGTGTTGGGGAGTTAGGGGTGTTGCGGCTGAAGGGTTGGCAGGTTTCGCCCCTACACCCTAAACCCTAACGCACTGAACCGAGCCTCTCTGCGCTTATGGGTTCCGGGATAGGGGGTCGATGGGCTTCTTCAAGGGCTCTGCTGTTGAAAACCCGACTGCAACAGAACCCGGTTATGATGCAAACTCTAAACCCTAAACCCCTAAACTCTAGACCCTTTAACCCTAAACCCTAAACCCCTAAACCCTAAACCCCTAAACCCTATGGAGGAGGCTCAACAGTCGCTGCTTCGTTTGTGCCACAGCGCTTCGGTACAGTCATCGGTCCCTTCCGTCTTGGAAGGACCGGGCTGGGGGGTTCGGGGTGTAGCATTTACTGCGTTTAGGGTTTAGGGTTTTGGGTTTAGGGGTTTAGGGGTTTAGGGGTTTAGGGGTTTCGGGGTTTAGGGCTTAGAGGTTTAGGGGTTTAGGGTTTAGGGTTTAGGGTTGAGGGTTTAGCGTTTACTGGGTTTAGGGTTTAGGGTTTTGGGTTTAGGGGTTTAGGGGTTTAGGGGTTTAGGGGTTTAGGGGTTTCGGGGTTTAGGGCTTAGAGGTTTAGGGGTTTAGGGTTTAGGGTTTAGGGTTGAGGGCTTAGCCTTTACTGGGTTTAGGGTTTAGGGTTTTGGGTTTAGGGGTTTAGGGGTTTAGGGTTCAGGGGTTTAGGGTTTAGGGTTTAGGGGTTTAGGGTTTAGCGCTTACTGGGTTTAGGGTTTAGGGTTTAGGGGTTGAGGGGTTTAGGGTTTAGGGGTTTAGGGTTTAGGGTTTACGGGTTTAGGGTTTAGCGTTTACTGGGTTGTGCTTTAAGCCCCTTGAAAATTATTTATGAATAAGTTCCCTCTATAAGGACATAAGGGAAATTAAAAATTATCCCAAAGCACAACCCAGGTTTAGGACTACTTGGAGGGTCGGGGGACTTAGTAAGTAGGCAGTAAGTAGACTTATAAGTACCCCAAAAGGGACCCTAATTGGGGTAATGGTACTTATAAGTCCCCAAAATAACCAGTTACTAATTCCCCCCAAACCCTAAACCCTATACCCTTATAGAATCCCTATAGATCCCTTTAAAGGAACCCTAAAGGAACCCCTTATGGGTAAAGTAACCAGTTACTAAGTCCCCCGACCCTCCAAGTAAGGGTTCGGGGCTTGGGGTCGGCGGCTCATTGCCGATCCAGCTGAGGACTAGGCTAACAGTCGCTGGCTCCCGGAAGAAACTATGTGGGTGGTTGTCAAAATTATGGTCCCTTTTTGGGGGTCCCTAGTATGATAGGGCACCTATTATTTAGGGTACCCAAAAAGGGACCTTAACCATCCATGCGGCAAATGCTTCAGGCCCCGTGTTTTTACCGCGGGGGTCCTTCGCCCCTTCTCCTCAGCAGCTTCGGGTTTGGAGCCTTTTCGTAGGGTTCATCCAGGGTGAAACGGTTTGGGGCTTACGGTTTCGAGTAGAGGGGGTCTTGAGGCTTGGCGTTCATGGCACACCCGAAACCCCCTCAGCTTTCAAGTGGAGAAAGTGGCCAGCAAGGGCAGGAGGTTGTGGTGGTGATTGATCCTCGCCAGATCCTCAAGACACTGAGGGTCATAAAGGGAAAGTGTGACAGAGACAACGGCACGAACTACCATCTCTGGCAAAATCAGAGTAACCTACGTATCATCATCACAAAGCCGAGCACTGGCTAGCTGGCGAACGACTTAGGGGTCTCTTACCTTTGCGAAGCACTTGCATATACTTCTACTAGTTCAACCCTTCTCAAGCCCCTGTCAAGCCCTGACAAACAAAACACATAAATTAAGACACTAAAACAACAACAACACTGGGCAATGATGAAGGATAAGAGACCATACAGACGTGAGGAAGACTAAGCAGCAACAACAATGGAAACCTAGCCAAAAGCAACCCAACTAAAACCGATCGAGAGCCTTCCAGGAAACCTTAAAGGAATCGGTTTCAAAAAGCCCTGGACCCTCACAACACCCCACCCCACCCTATAGACCCTCTCCTAAACCCTAACCCCATTACCCTGAACCCTACTCCCGCCTCAGGGGGCCTTCATACCTTAAGAAGGCCTGTTTCAGGAAGTATAGGCCCCTACCCCCCCTCCGCCCCTCCTCTTTACCCCAACCCTAGACCCTCTCCTACACCCTAACCCCTTTCCCCTGAACCCTAACCCCCCCCTCCCTTTTTGAGATGAGATCCTCGGGCCAGTCTCCCCGGTCGTTTGGGATCTGTTCGGCTCCATAGTCTAGGAAAAGCCTCAGGTTCAGGGTCTCCCTTTAGGGCTTCAAGAGTTTAGGGTTTAGGGTTTAGGGCTTAGGGCTTAGGCTTTAGGGTTCAGGGTTTAGGCTTTAGGGTTTAGGGTTTAAGACTTTAAAAGCTCCTTTAGAGTTTTCCTTTAAAGGGTTCATGTGGGCTCCCTTCTTGGGTCCCCCTTTGAAGGGTTAATATCAGGGCTATAGGGTTAGAGTTTAGGGTCTAGGGATCGACCACGAGGGCTGCACTCTAAAGCCCTAAGCCCTAAACCTCAAATCTTACTCCGGCTACCTTCAGGGCACTGTACTTCGAAACCCTAAGCACTAAGCCTGTTCTTTTAGGGCGTCCCCGATCGAATCAGGGTTAAATAAGGGTTCCTTTCGGGCTCTTTTAAAGAGGGATCTGAAAGGGTTCGATAAAGGTTCTTTAAGGGATCCATGAAGGTCCTTCTAAAGGCTTCTGCCCCTAAACCCTAAGCCCCTACGTAAAACCCAAACCCAGCAAAACTTCTTTAACCCTAAGCCCTGAAACCCTAAACCCTAAACCCTAAAGCCTAAACTCTAAGCCCTGAAACCCTAAACCCTAAACTCTAAGCCCTGAAACCCTAAACCCTAAACCCTAAACTCTAAGCCCTGAAACCCTAAACCCTAAACCCTGAACTCTAAGCCCTGGAACCCTAAACCCTAAAGCCTAAACTCTAAGCCCTGAAACCCTAAACCCTAAACCCTAAACCCTAAACTCTAAGCCCTGAAACCCTAAACCCTAAACCCTGAACTCTAAGCCCTGAAACCCTAAACCCTAAACCCTAAACTCTAAGCCCTGGAACCCTAAACCCTAAAGCCTAAACTCTAAGCCCTGGAACCCTAAACCCTAAACTCTAAGCCCTGGAACCCTAAACCCTAAACTCTAAGCCCTGGAACCCTAAACCCTAAACTCTAAGCCCTGGAACCCTAAACCCTAAACTCTAAGCCCTGGAACCCTAAACCCTAAACTCTAAGCCCTGGAACCCTAAACCCTAAACTCTAAGCCCTGGAACCCTAAACCCTAAACTCTAAGCCCTGAAACCCTAAACCCTAAACCCTGAACTCTAAGCCCTGGAACCCTAAACCCTAAAGCCTAAACTCTAAGCCCTGAAACCCTAAACCCTAAACCCTAAACCCTAAACTCTAAGCCCTGAAACCCTAAACCCTAAGAACTCCCCTGAAACCCTAAACCCTAAACCCTAAACTCTAAGCCCTGGAACCCTAAACCCTAAACTCTAAAACCCTAAACCCTAAGCCCTGGAACCCTAAACCCTAAACTCTAAGCCCTGGAACCCTAAACCCTAAACTCTAAGCCCTGGAACCCTAAACCCTAAACTCTAAGCCCTGGAACCCTAAACCCTAAACTCTAAGCCCTGGAACCCTAAACCCTAAACTCTAAGCCCTGGAACCCTAAACCCTAATTAGGGTTTACGGTTGAAACTTGAGGGCTCCAGGTTGACGCTTGTAGGCGACTGGAGAGATACCGCTAGGGCTCCGGGCATGGGGGGTTCCCTTAAAGGGGTCTATAAGGGATACTAGAAGGGTACCTATAAGGGTACGATAAGGGATCTACAAGGGTACTATAGTAATGTAGGAACCTGATTAAGAAACCTTGCCCCTTTATTAGGGTTCCTTAGGTGATTCCTACTATTTTGGGATATAGGCACAGGGTTTCTTAATCAGGTTCCTACATTATGGGGCTGCGTTTGCAAGGTCCTCACAGTCACGGCAGCCCGGAGCCCTTTAACATCCCTCTTACACCAAAAAACCCTGCAACATACACAAGCACCACAAAGCCTCAAAACAATAACTCAAAACCTTTTTACCGCCCCTTACACCCCCTACAGAAAGACCCCTAAAGGCCCTGCCGAGCCTCCTAAACCCCAAACCCTAGACCCAAAACCCTGAATCCTAGACCCCAAACCCCAGGCCCTGAATTCCAGACCCTAAACCCGAAACCCCAGGCCCTAAACCTGTTGAATCCTAGACCTAAACCCGAAACCCCAGGCCCTACCCCCATGAAGCCTTTCAAAGCCCTGAATCCTAGACCCTGTACCAGTAGGGCTCAGGGCTTAGGGCTTAAGGCTTTAGGGTTTAGGATTCCTAAACCCTAAGCCTTTGAATCCTAGACCCTAGACCCTAAACCCCAGGCCCTAAAGATCCTAAAGCCTTTCAAAGCCCCAAAAGAGCCTCGTGAGCTGGGGATTCCTTAATATGAAGCCTATTATGGGAACCCTAATCCCTACTAAACCCCCATAAGCTAAAAAAAAGCCCCTGCAGAGCCTCCTAAGCCCTAAACCCTAGCCTAGACCCAAAACCCTGAATCCTAGACCCCAAACCCTGAACCCCAGGCCGTAAAGCCTTTCAAAGCCCCAAAAGAGCCTCGTGAGCTGCTCATGGCCGACCATGGCGGCGCAGCCCAGCGGAGCGATGCCAGGAAGCGAGGCCAGCAGCCGGGGCATCTTCTTGCAGTTTGACCATCCTGAAAAAAACAGAACGCGTCAGAATACGGGCACCTTTTGTGTATAGTTATGTTTAGGGTTTTATGTTGCCCTCTGAAAAAAGGGGGCCCCCAGTATCCCTCAATTCAGAAATGTTCCTGAAATCATAGTAAGGGTCCTACCATAATTGAAGGTAGTTTCCTTGATTCCCGAAAAAAGGGGGCTCCCAGTATCCCTCAATTCAGAAATATTCCTGAAATCATAGTGAGGGTCCTACCATAATTGAAGGTAGTTTCCTTGATTAAGGGATATTGGAGTCTCTGGGCTTAGGGCTTATATCGGGGTTTTGGGGTTTAGGGTTTGGGGATTAGAGCTTAGGGTTTAGAGTTTATGGCTTAGGATTTGGGTTTGGGGTAAAGGGCGCCTTTTTGCAATTCGCCCATCCTGCTTAGCATTTCAGGTTTCGGGTTTGGGGTTCAGGGCTTCTCCTTGCACTACAACTATCCTTATAGGCGGGCTTTAGTAGGGTGTTGCTAGGGGTTCACAGAGGCATGAGGCTTTAGGGTGCATAGCGCTTTAGCGTTTATGGTCTCCTCCAAGGGCTATAAGGGGGCCATTTGATTTGAGGTTTCAGGGTTTTGGGTGGTCGACCCGGGTTTACATGGGCGCTGGAGGAGTTTATATGGAAGGTTCCGGAAATATTTTGGCAGCTTCTGTAAAAGGTTTTTTTGGGATTCTAGCGAAGGTTCTTAGGATATGAATGCTTTAGGACTGAGGGGGTTAAGGATTGAAGGGCTTGAGGATTGGATAGCTGAATAGATTGGAGCTTAGGGCCTTCAGGCCTTAGGATACCTGCAAGGGCTGCAAAGCCCAGACCCCAAACCGCAATATAGGGACCTCAAGACTTAGAAAACGGTTTTATGGTTTTGATTGTAATACCGGTAATCATTGAGGCTTCCATCCCTAAACCCTAAACCCTACACCCTACCGAAACTCTAAACCCTAAACCCCGAACCCGACGGCCTAAACCCCAAGCTCTACACCCTCAACCCTACACCCTAAACCCTACCTACACTCAAAACAAGTTAAAGGATGCCCTCTGCTCCACCCAAGGCTCCGAAGACGGCCACTTGGGCACGAGCTAGTCGGTGTACCCATGCCTCCAAGCGGTGTAGGGTGGTTTTGGTTTTTCCGTCTGCACGAACACACGAACACATCCAGAACTGCTTGTAAGGTTTAGAGGTGTGGGGTGTAGGGATTTTTTTCGGGTTTTGGGGTGTCGGGTTAGGGATTTAAGGCTGAGGGGTGTTAAGCAACAAAAAACTCAAATGTGACGATGATGATGGTGATGATGATTACTATGCTCATAGGAACTCCATTTAGAAGTACTCCCGAACAAGGACCCCGGTATTCTGTCTTTGAAGCTGGAGAGCAGAAATCTTCGAGACTTCGGCGGCTCTTCGCCCAACCATAAGCCCCGAGCTCACCAGAACCCTTTCTGACGAACTACCAAGTCGAAGGGGTTAGCGGTTCGGGTTTGAGGTTCAGGGTTTAGGGCTTAGGGTTCGGTTCAGGGTTTAGGGTTTTGGGTTTAGGGTTCAGGGTTCAGGGTTCAAGGTTGAGGAACTATGGTATATTCCTTATAATGGGTAATGCAGGATTTCTATCCCTAACCCCTAAACCCTAAATCCCTATAGATCCCTTAGAGGAACCCCTTAAAGGTACCCTTATAGAGGGTTTGGGGATTTCCTGGTACTCCGTTGAAGCCCACCTGGCTGTTCAGCGGCCGGGCGCATGCATTGACGTTGGCGCGGTGATCCAACAAGAGCTTGGCAGTCTCAACGGCCGCTGGGTTGCCTGGGCTTTGAAGTAACCAGGGAGAACAAAGTATAAACTTTTATTTCATAAGGGTTCCTTTGAGAAAAAGGTATAAACTTTGGTTCCTTTAAGAAGAAAGTATACACTTTGGGTTCCTTTAAGAAAAAAGTATTAAAGTATGGTACTTCAAAGCCCAGTTGCTGCGCCCGAAGAGCGCCAAGCCGTTGAGGGGACCTGTGTCTGGCCCTAGGGGTCTCATATATTAAAGCAAAAGCCAGAAAGTTGGAATATGATTATCCTAAACCCTTTATGGTAAATTACAAGGTATCCTACCCTGAAACCATATTCCAACTTTCTGGAGTTCCCTTTAAGGCTTTCGGGCCCAAAGACCATGCTATATAAGGCTTTTGGGCTGTTTTGATCCCTTTAGGGTAGGGTGCAGGATGTAATGGATTAGAGTTTTGGGTACTGGGGTTTGGGGTTCAGGGTTTGGGGTCGAAGGGTGACTCACCTAGACCAGGATTCGGCGGAGATGGTTCAGATACCCAGACCTCCCTTAAAATTCTCGTTACTACCCATAGGCTCCATAGCAGTTCCTTGCTGGGATTACCTTATAGAATCCGGAATACAAACCACAGAAAGGAACTACAACGAAGCCTATATTCGCGATGGCAGACGCCCTAAACCCCTAAACCCCTAAGCCCTAAACCCTTAAACTCTAAATCCTAAAGCGTGGGCCAGGGGGCTGGCCCCGGTGTCGTCATCTAGCCACGTGGCATCACAGCGGGCGTTCAAGAGAGCCTGCACCTGGGCTCTTGTTAAGGAACTATCTGTAACTATCTGATTTAGGTTTACCATAGTGGGGATATAAAAGAGCTTCTAAGTTACCGTAACAGGGATGCTCTTGTTAAGGAAGTTAGTTTAAAATTATGGTGGCAGGGTTCCATTAAGGGGTTAGGGGTTAAGGAATTTACTTCAAATTACCTTGTAGAGATCTATAGTAAATACATGGGTTTCCTTGTTATGGTAACTAAAAACGCCTGAACAAGAACCCAGGCACCGTCTGCGGACTCGCATAGGAGGCAGCACCGCGCAACACGTAATGAGGCATATCTGCGCGGTACTCCAAGAGCACTTTCACATGCTCCGGGGTCCGGCTCAGATACCTGGACTTTGAAGTATCCTAGAACCCTAGAGCCCTAAACCCTGAACCCCAAACCCCCTAAACCCCTAAACCCTAAACCCCTAAACCCCTAAACCCTGAACTCCAAACCCCTAAACCCCTGAACCCTAAACCCTAAACCCTAAAGTACTCCAAGAAAGCTCAGATGCAAGGCCGTAATTCCAGCCCTGGAGGTGCCGTTCACATTCGCGCGGAGCTCCAGCAGCGCCGCCAGGACAGAAGCCTGGGTTCAGGGTTTAGGGTTTGCAGGGTTTAGGGTTAAGGAATGTACGTTTAAGTTACCATAAAATCGGGATCTATAAGGCTTCCTTCAAGGGATCTATAAGGGTTCCGAAGTTTAAGGCTTAAGTTACCATAATAGGGATCTAATCTATAGCAAATAGTATGGTTATCCGCACTATGGCACTATGGTAACTTAAGCTAAACCCTTAACAAGAACCCAGAAGCATCCTGCCGCGACTTCGTTGCCACCATCAGCGTCGTCTGCGTGTCGTAGTACCCCAAATCACCCAAGCCCTGGAGTCCAACGTTCATGTCTGCCTGCCCCTCGGCTAACAACCGCAGCATAGCCTTGTCGCCGGAAAACACGGCACACATCACTGCGTTCATGCCGCTGCTGTCCCGCAGGGCCTCCTCCCAGCCAGGTTCAGAGTTCAGGGTTCGGGGAACAGTACGGTTTAGGGTTTAGGGTTTAGGGTTTAGGGTTTAGGGTTTAGGGTTTAGGGTTTAGGGCAACAGCAACAATTTGTTTGAAGAACATTACGGTGCGTATGAGATGCTGCATGACCGAATCAACGTTGCTCTTGCCACGACATACCACCTCGCTGCTATATTGCTACGTGCACACAGAACTACGTGCATAAGCACGGACGGGCACATACAGTACGCTGATCTTTGTTACCTGGCCTCCCAGCTGTCAAAATGGAACAGCCGCAAGAAGGCCGCGATGCTGCGCTCCTTCCTTTGCTCGCAGAGAAGCGAGGGGCGCAGAGCGGTATAGAAGCGGTAGTGGCTCAATGGTCCTGGAGGTTCAGGGATGGGAACTTCCTTGTTGGGGGGCCGATGGGGCGCCTGCAGGAATCGGTTCATAGCCCCTCCGAACACTGCGCAAAAACTATCCTGACCGAATCCCACCAGGCTGTTCAAAGATTGAGGGCTCGATGATGTCTTTGTTGCAAACTTTCGGTATCGGGGCTTCGAAACTTGCTGTGTGCAATAGGTTTCCATTGCTTGCATTTTCGAACACCTGACCTGTCTCCGACTTTTTAAACCATGCATTTTCCAATAACGAGACATGTCCATTCACATCGCCGTCTTAACTCGGGGCGCTTGGCGAAAAAGAAGTGAACGTCGTGAGCGGCCGCTCGGAAGCCGGTGCATGCCGCCATGAGCCCTTTAGTGCCCGGTGTCTGCTTGGACCTTTGTCACCCTCGTACATCAAGGCTTTCCGCTGTGGTAAAAAGAAAACATCCGGCGAAAAAACTTTACTATACGGGACTGCGGCGGGGCACACTGGAACACGCTGGCAGCCACAGACGGACCGGGACCGGGATCGCATCGATGGGAAACAAAGGGAAAATTCTCAAGAGCGACATGGTTTGAGAGGGCTTCACACTCTGCACCCCTAAGATGCCCAGAAATCTCAGGAAAAAGTTGCAGAACTGCTGCCGATAGACCCCCCCCCTGCGAAAAAAGCCAGCTTTCCGGAAATGATTCCGGACAAATGATTCCTGATACTAACGTCCCCCCCTCCGGAATCATGATTTAAGGCATCCCCCATGCTCAGGGTTTGCCATGGGATACGGATTTTATCAATGCAAATACGAACGGTAGGGTTTAGGGTTTAGGGTACGAACACCAATCTTAGAATCTTCCTACCAGGTTCAATCGCAAGCATCCACGAACAAAGATCCTCACAGGCTTCAACGCAACCGACCGAGAGCAGCAGAACACATGTGCAAGGGATTTTTTGCCTGCAGGTGCTGCATCCTACCCCCACAGAACAGGGTCCTTTTGCCAGCAGGTGCCGGACCCTAAAGCCTAAACCCAAGGGTCCTTTGGCCTGCAGGTGCTGGATTTTACTCTCCACTGCCATCTCCCCCAAGCGAACGACCTCTGCCCTGTCCTGGGTTCTTGTTAAGGAGTTTAGTTTACTTACCATAGTTAGCTAATTAGGAAGCCATATCATTTACCATCTAAAGTTAGTTCCGTAACAGAAGAGGGCCCTTATTTCCCATATTATCTATAACTTAAGTTAAACTCCGTAACAGGAGCCCAGAATCCGCTTCGACGGTGAACTCGCCCTCGGCGATGCCTCGCTGTCTGGCCGAAACTCTGCAAGCGAAATAGCGCTTGAACTTTTTTGTTTAGGGCGTAGGGTTCTAGGGTTTAGGGCGGTGTGCTGCTTTAAAGGGCTACTAGAAGGTTCTACAAGGTTTATGAATATAGGGCCCTAAACTTGATGAGTATAGGGTGCCGTTTAAAACGGCTCTCTAATGAGGCATATTGCGAGGGTCGCCATGAGGGCTGAGTGTTTAGTGTACATGGAACTTAACAAGTACAAACGGGATTGGAAATGAATATATATATATAGTATACAGTAGATTGGAAATGAATATATAAATATATATATATATATAGTATACAGTACACAGTATACATACGTACATATTGAGTCAAGCTCATGTAGAATAAGGCACCCTGAGGAAGAGTGCAGGTAATGCTGCTATGCCTCGGGGCTTCAGGACCTTCGCCGGAAGGTTACACACGTTTCATGGCTTTGGGTCAGGAATCTGTTTAAAAAGCTTTCGATTTATCTCAGCCCTGACGGTTTCAGGCTTGGGGTTCAGTGCGATGCATGACGAAGGCTTTCTGTGTCCGTGCTTGACACCGAAGCTCTTGTACCAGGCCCCGAGACGGCGATGGACATCTTTGTACCGGCACCTCTAAAACGTAGCGGACGGAACAATCCCAACCTTCTGCAAACCCCCCCATTTACCCTTTAACCCTTGTGTCAAGATGCTATTGTACTGCCAATCCAGCGGGAACATGAACTCAGCTTCCATGGCAGAGTACGCAATCACGACGCTGGTGTCGCTCCTGCTTTCTGAGTGCCATTCCCACATCTTCAACTTTGACACCAAGTTTGGGGTTCAGGGTTGGGGTGCTCCATATCATATTCATTATGTAAAAGACAGTGAATCCTTGGCCGCCTGGCCCGGGCCGCGCATCTCACACGACGCAAAGAACAAGACGTCAGCGAAAAGGATGCACCGCGCCACAGCAGGAGACCCGCGCTGCGAAAAGAACCCCATGGTGCTACCCCACTGTTTGGAGAACAAAACCCGCAAACCCCATAAACCCGAAATCCTCAAGCCCAGCATAAATCAGATTTCCTGTGGAATGTCCCAGGACCCGACCCCTACCCAACTGCCAGGCTTTTTGACAGAAAACTCAGCAAAGCCTCAGCCAAACAACTGCTAGGCTGAACTCCAGAGGAAAAGCAAAAAGCAAAACCCGACAGAACTCCCTACCTGAACTCTATACAGTTTCTATAAACCCTTAAACGACGGAACCTGATTAAGAAACCCTGGGCCGATAACCCCAAAATAGTAGGATTCATCTAAGGAACCCTGATAAAGGCCCAAGGTTTGTGAACCTGGCTCCCCACGTTTTACAATTCTATTTGCCCTTGAACCCCACTTGGAGGTTCATGGGTAGTGATAAGTGGGGTTATAAGTCCCCTACTATAGGTTAAAACCATACTTACTCTAGGCTTTAACCATAGCCAGTCTACTTATGACCCTACTTATAACTATCCATGAACCTTCAGGTACATATACCCTAAACCCTAAATCCCAAAGCCTCAGCAGCGTCCTGTTTGACAAGAGCCGACACCAAAGTTCTGCGCGGCACCACCCTCTGGAAAGCCAAGACCTTGAACTTGAACTTCTGGTGTTTTTTCGGAGGAGTTTGGGGCTCTACCGGGTTCCTTGAAAGGGATCTGTAAGGACTCCTTTGAGGGTTCTACTCAAACCCTTAACCTGAAGCCCAAACCGCGGCTAATTGAAATTAAAGATCACAGGACCCGCAATCCCCAACACTTCAACCCCTGAAACACTAAACTGAAGGTTTCCTGAATCCTGAAGCCTCAAACCCTGAATCTCAATCCTACCCTTACAAAACCCTCGGCACAGCCACTTGTTACGTCGATCCTATAGAACCCTTCTAGTGACCCACTTCTGAAATCAAACACCCAAGAAGGCTGCTCCACATGATCGAGGGCCCGGCGCGTAGTTCACCAGCTGGCCAGAATCCTTCCCCAGAGACTCCAATATCCCTAAACCCTAAACCCTAAACCCTAAACTCTAAACCGCAATTCAGGAGTATTCCCTAACTCATGCTAGGGATCCTATTATAAGTTAAGGAGTCCCTGGGTGAACGTGAAATTTAAGGGGTTTTGCCCTGCCGTCTCCACATTTGGGTTTCGTACGGATTAGAGAAGGGTTGTGTTCCTTGAAGGGTCTTTACAGTTCTCCCAATACTGCGGGTTTTGAGTTTTCTGATTTTGAATTAATAGCGCTAGTTACAGTTTGAAAGCTGCAAAGTCAGAAGTTGAGAGTTCTCGACTGCTGGCTTAGATGTTGAGGGATTTATGGTTGCATCAGGATTTAGCGTTTGGGGTTTGGGGTTTAGTTTGTGTTCAGAGGCTTGCGGCAGTAGGGGTATCAGGTTTAGGAACCCAGAGACTCAGGTTTGGTTCACAATTGAAGGCTGAAGCTCTCGTGGAGTCTGCGGGATTCGGGGATTGCGGGGCGTCTTCTGTCTGCCACTTAGTAGGGAATGGGGGAATGGATCGTTATAGCAGTCCCTATATAATCCCCAATCATAGTCCCCATAATCCATTCCCCCATTCCCTACTAAGAACCAGACAGTGTAGTTGTGGTTCAGGGCCGAAACAGGGCTCACGGGTCGGGGATGCACGGTTTATGCACTCGAGGGCTCCTGGCTTGGAGGATGAAGGTCTGAGGTCTGAGGTATTCGACGATCAGGATCCGAAGTCATCGAATAGAAAGGGTTCGAAGCTTTTGGGACATGCGACGGCTTTGTTCTAGTTGGAGTTCCTTGAATTTGGGGCCGGCTCCTAGATGGCAAGACACAACGCTTGTAGACTCTTAGCTCGTGGTTCGTTTCTCCTAACCCCAAACCCTACATCCTTCCGATTCCCATTCTGGCTAAAGCTCCTTGTGCTGCAGCTCGGGGACGAGGGCGATGAACATGTTGCAAAGCTCCACGTAAGCTGGAATACTCTGAACCTAAGCTTTCGAGACTAGGGCCCCGGGTTGAAAGTGGAGTTTTCTTGACTTAAAGCCTATGGGCTTGGGGCAACATGAAACATTTGCGTGAAGCTTTCTATATGCCAGAAGGCTACCGGAACAAGATTTCACGCCCAAGTCCAGGACTTATCGCTTCAGAAAAACACCCGCAGACAGGGGTCTGTAGAATATGTCCAGACACTAAACTGTCAATCGCAGAACTTAGTAGAAGCACCGGACTTGGAAGATCATTCGTCAGCCCTAAACCCTGAACAGCCACTGACCCTAAATCTTAAACCCTCAACCCACTGAACAGCCCTCGACCCTAAACTCTCGACGCCCGAGCCCAGGAACTGCTAAAGCCGCATCGCTCTTCGTTGCATCCTCGTTGACACCCTGCTGCCTTGCCGTGATCTGAGGGATGGCGAACCTGAGATCGGAATAGGATTTAGGGTCTAGGGTTTAGGGTTTAGGGTCTAGGGTTTAGGGTTTAGGGTCTAGGGTTTAGGGTTTAGGGTTTAGGGTCTAGGGTTTAGGGTTTAGGGGTTCGGATCTAGGGTTCAGGGTTTAGGGTCTATAGGGTTTCTGTCTCGGAGCTCATACTCATGACATAAGGGCCGCAGGCACTTCTATAGGGTTTTGAGGTATGTTCATGGTACCATAGTTTTCTCAGAACTACACAACAATACCCTTACAAACCATGTCTTTGTGCGGGCCTCTGTAGTACTCATACTGCGCACCGTCAATTGCTGGCGATATCCGGTGGATCTTCTGAGCAGTCACCGGTTCTGGCATCATGTCGCGCACCAAAGATGTCTACATAAGAAAAGGGTAGTACCAGAATATACGATGATATACTATAACATAATACGCTACACTTGTCTAAAATTTATTTTGGGGTACTGCAACAATCTGCTGTAATCATGATGAGGTCTTCATACTGGACTCGTGCCAGAGATCCCAAGGTGTGCACACGGAGACATTTCAAATCATGTCAATCATGTATGGGACGTAGAACTCTGCCCAGTATGGAAGTCCACAAACCACAGGGGCCACTGAGGTATCCTACAACGCTAAACCATGAATTACAAAGGAGCCAGTCAAAGAAGAGGAAGCCATCGGCAATGTGCTGCCGGGTCTTGGACGACAAGCTTCGCTCCTGATTGCAAGCTTGCAAGATCTCTCACCCCTCCACCCTAAACCCCAAGCCTAACTGGCGTTGCAAGATAGGAGTTCGGTTTCCCTCATACGACCCCAGACCTAAACCCAATTCAAACCCCATTTGCCTTAAAATCCCTTCGGCTACTACACACAAAAACACCATCAACAACAATGAGAGCAAGCAATTAGTTAGCTATGAAGCCCCCATCAATCCCGACAACTCCTCCGAAAACCAGAATAGAGCTATAGGCATTTTCTAGTATATGACTACACTTCAGAAACCCTGAATATGGAACACTACTGATGTTGGACCAAGCCCCCTAAACCTCAAATCCAAAACCCAAAACCCGACAACCCCAAACCCTGAAGCCCCCTAGGATCGAATCGGAGGAGGCTCCTCAGTGCGTGAGATGATATCCTCGTGAACTTGCAGCGATCCGTCGATCATGCGGCGCAGCAGCCTTGAGGGGGCTGGGTTGTGGGCTTATTGGGGCTAAGAGTTCCAGGTTTAGGGTTCTCTTCTTCGGGGTGGCCTTAAAGGTTTAGGGTGTAGTCCTTCTACAGAGTCCAAGCTTGGGCGACCAGGGAGCAGGTGTGGGGTGTTATACGATCGACAAAAAGTTTGGGCATGTTGGAGCTTCCGGTTTCATGTAGAGAGGCCACTGTTCAGCGTGAAGGGTTTGCGGTTTAGGACAACAAGGGTTTCAGGTTTCGACAGACCGTCGGACGTTGTGAGCAAAAACTGAACCACATGTGGGAGCTTTCGAAAATTAGGGGTACCTGATTTGGGGGTCCTTATAATTAGGATCCTACTATTCAGGGTACTATATTAGGGTCCCCTATTTTCGCAAACTCCCATGTGCTATGCAAGGCGAAGCTTCCTTTGGAGCACTTCCATCTGCTCACCACGCGGATCCGGGTGGGTGGAGCTGAGCCACTGGTGCGACACGAAAATCGCGAACATGCCCGGATACCTTAGCTGGGCACCACCGAAAGCCCTCAAGGCTGACCAGAAATCTAGAAAAGCCCTAAACCCTAAACCCTAAACCCCTAAACCCCTAAACCCTAAACCCTAAAAAAGATTCCTGAGTTTAGAATGTGCTCGGCATGTCGCACGCTGGTTTTCGCATGCAGTAGCATAAGCACATGCCCACCCCAAGACCACCCATATGGGGGTTTCCGAAAATAGGGGACCCTTCAAGGCTTCCTTTAAGGGATCTATAAGGGTTCTATAAAGGGTTTAGGGTTGGGAGTTTCCGAAAATGGGGGACCCTAATATAGAACCCCAAACAGTAGGATCCTTATTATAAGGACCCCCAAATAAGGTACCCCCTATTTTCGGAAACGCCCATATATGCACTAGTAACAGCAAGCCACACCAAAGCCAGCCAAATCCAAGAGGCAATCGTAAAAGTGTAAAAACTTATAAAGATAAAGCACATGAGCATGTGAGAATCTTGGTCCTCATCGGACGGTGGATGCTGTGTGGAATGACCGGTGGCTGCAGCCGGCACATGCGTTCTGGGCGAAGGGCCTTCTCAGCAGGGAACGCCGCCCCGCCAGCACCGTTGCAGGTCTGCCAGTGCGGCGAGGCACGCCGCACCGCCAGAGAACCACCCAGCATCTGGAAGCTGGCTCGCGGGAGGTGCCAGGCAGCTGCCGGCATAAGAGCTGCATTCCTTTAAGGCGACCGACGTGAGCTTTGCGCGAAGGGCCTCATCGAGCACCGAGGTATTCCGTGCCGTGTCGGGATTCGTTGCGGGCCAGCGCCCCACAAGTCACTGCCAGGCCCAAAAGCAACAAGGTAACGACAGATTTCGATGACGACTAGGGACAGGGCTTGGCGACCAAGCTTGGCGACTCCTTCAGGGGAGCCAGGAAGCTTTGCCCGGGCCTGCATTGTCCGGGGCGGCGCTCACCTACCCACTTTACACCCCCGAAATAGAAGGTAGTGGGCGCACAGGGCGCCACGCGGCATCATGCGCTTGTACCGGTTCTACGTGACATTTCCAAGGACTAGGGGGGTGGGCGGGGGGGGGGGCAATAGCGTCCGGCCCTCGCATGTCATCAAGGTCTTGCTTTCTGCGAGAAATCGGTGGGATAGCTGCAAGCGGGTTCTGTGAGAACTCTGCTGAAAATGAAATCCGCCTCCCCAGCGTCTCTGAGAAAAGCTGTTACAAGTCTCTGATGAAGCTGTGAGAAACCTGTTAGAAACCTGTGAGAGGCCTGTGAAAAACCTGGGGGAAACCTGTGAGAAAGGAAATCCGGCTCCCCAACTCCCCAGTGTCTGTGGAAAAGCTGTGAGAATATAATGACGCTGATGTTGACGCTAAAGACGACGATGATGCTGATGATGCTGCTCATGATGTTGCTAATCGTAAAAAAGCAATAGTTTCCGTGATGTGCTACAAACCTGTCGTCTGCATAAATCGTGCTAACGCCGCAGTTTCTCGCACTTTCTAAGGACGACTGCAACGTGGCACCTGGTGCCCCGTACCCAAATAGAAACTCGAAACTCTGTAAACTCAAAGCTCCCAACACGTTATAGGCGGCAACCAACCCCACCACCAAGTTCATATCTTCGAGAGTGGCGGTACATGATCCAGGGCAGGAGGTTCAGACATGTCTTGATCGTCTACTGCAAGTAGCTCACTAAACCCTAAACCCCCAGCCCCCCAACCCTAAACCCTACCACCCTCAACTCTACACTTTCAGCCCAAAGCCTCAACCCCGAAACCGGAACCCTAAACCCTAAAAAACTCGAGGCCCCCCTGCCCCCCCCACCCCTCTTTTGGCTGCCGCAGGGCCATTCCCGGAGTTTGCCCTGTCCCCTCAAGACGTGGTGGGGCTCCGGAAGCCCGCGGAGACGCAGAAAGTCCTGGACCTGAGAGTTTAGGGGTTTAGGGTTTAGGGTTTAGGGGTTTAGGGTTTAGGGTTTCGGGCTTAGGGTTTATACTTGGAGGTTCATGGGTACTTACAAGTAGGGTAACTATACTCCTAACTCATATCAGGGGACTTATAACCCCACTTGTAACTACCCCTGAACCTCCCAGTAGGGCTCAGTGTTTCTAGGGCTCAGAGCTCAGACACCTAGGGTTGAGGGTCCAAGGCCCCAGGAACTTATTGAGGGTTCATGAACATCTAAAGGCTGCAACGGGCCCTAAAGACACCTTAACTATAAGGCATCTTCCTTCCATAAACTAAACCTTGTTCCAAGAATTTGCCGAATATCCCTCAAAGAAAACAGGGCTTCTTTCGTTTGACGGCTATTTCTCAATGAAGGCTTGCTGTGGTCCTTAGGATGGCGCTTTAGGGGGTGAAGGGAAAGGATGTTTAGGGGTTTAGGGGTTAGGGGTTTAGGGCTCTGGGGCTTTAGATTTCATGGGCATCGAGGTTTTTGACTCGGGGCTTCGGGCTTGCGGCGCGGGGCTTCGCACGCAAGATGTAGGGTATTTTGGGTCTACGGTTGGAGGGTTTAGGGTTGGGTTGAGGGTTTGAGGATTTTAGGGTTTGGGGTGAAGGCTTAGGGCTTGGGGCTTGGGGCTTGGGAGGTATGTTCGGTTTGGGATCTCCAAAAGCCTGGCACAAAGGCCGATGTCGCTGGCAGGGCGACGGTTTGCTTCCGGGTGCTATAGTTACTATAGGGGCCTTAATAATCAACAGGTCTGGGAGCAAATCAAACAAAGTCATAATAAGGAACCCCCAATATAGTATTAGTAGCTATTTAAGCCCTTTTCAACCCCAAAACCTCCCCAAAACCAAAACAGCATCCACAGGCTCTCCGCCTTGATCGCCCAGAGGGGAAAACTGCAGGCGTGCACCTAGGTTCCGCAGAACGCCGCTTACCCAAACCCTATAGTATAGCGGGGCCCCCAAAACCCTATTCTAATTACTAAGGCCCCTATATTAAACCTATTTGGGGGGTTCCTTATTGTAATTGTGGTATAATGGGCCCCAAAACCCTCCCCTGGGGGTTCCTATAAAGTACCCTTAGTAGTATAGGGCCCCAAATTAGGGGATCTACTTTCTACTCCCGGGGGTCAGGGTAAGAAGACGGGTACCTTTTCTCCTACCATTTGCTTTAGAGTTTGCGGATTCAGTTGGGGTTTTGGGCTTAGGGCTGGGTCTAGGGTTCGAGGGTAATACAGTAAGGGAGACCCAAAAAGAAAGCGCAACAAAACCCAAAACCCTATTCACCAAGCCCTAAACACCCAAACCCTGAACCCGCAAACCCTAAACCCCCAACTACTAAACCGTGTACTCATGGGGAACCTAGGGACCATGGATTGCGGGGCCGAGGCGACATCGTCAGGTGCGCACAGGGCCGCTCCCATGGCAGAGGGCACTTCTCGACGGGAAGTTTTTGGGGGGGCCTCAGGTGTTTAGCGTTCAGGGTTTAGGGCTGAGGGTTTAGGGTTTAGGGCTGGGTTTTCAGGGCTTAGGATTCAGAGGTTTCGGGTTTGGGGTTTCAGGGCTTAGGGTTGAAAGTTTTCGGGTTCGAAAAATCCGGCAATGCACCACGGCTACTTTGGGTGTTTTCCTTTGCATCGAGTCTGCACGGTTTGGGTTTGGGAGCCCTAAGCCTAAACCATACGGTTGATGATATAAATCCTGCACTACCTTAAGGACCCTAAATTATGGGAATTATGGTATATTCCTTATTATGGGTAATGCAGGGTTTACATCATCAACCGTAGGGTGTAGAGAGCAACTGAATGTCGGATAACCTGTGCTGGGCATCGGTCTAGAAGTACTCTATAAGCCGGGTAGATGAAGAAAAGGTCCGGGGGATGCTGTAGTATGTAAACTGTCAGTCGCTATTCTGACTCTTGTCACATTTGGGGGCTCAGCGCACCCTAAAGCCAGGCAAGTTAGGCCGCAGGCTTCGATCCAGCTGTCCTTTCAGCATGAGCTTCGGTTTGTTCGCAGTGGCTCCAACGACCCCTTGCGAAGGAACATACCATCAAATCACAAGTTGGATCCCGCTACCCAAATCCTTAAACCCTCTACAACTTAGGGTATGGATTAGAAGGGGCCCCCACCCTGTATTCGTGGTATAATAGGAACATACTAGGGCCCTGATATAATCCTTATAGTTACTATTACAGAGTGGGGGCAGCTTCTAAGGTATGGAGTTGGAACTCGGACTTGTGAGTTCCTGGGCTTTGGGGTGAGGGAGGTTCGGGGGCTGCTCCTCGAAACTGTATTGTAGAGGCCTTCATAACTAGAATAGGGTTCCTTTAAACGGGACGATAAGGGCTACTATGAGGGATCTTTCATAAGGGATCTTTTTTGTAGGGGCCTTCATAATTAGAATAGGGCTTTGAGGCCCACTATACTATATAGCTATAATAAGGAACCCCCGAAAATAGTGTTCGCAATTATTTAGGCCCCCTATAGTATTCGGGTTTTTTGGTTCTCTTTGCCACTGGGAGACTTCAACATTTAGGCTAGTCTTCACACACGTGCTTTCACACTTTTTGTTGCATGCTTTTTGGCTTTGCTTGGACAAGCTGCAAGCCGGAACCCTTTACTCTAAAATGCGGGAGTTTAGGGTTTAGGGTTTAGGGTTTAGGGTTCAGGGTTTAGGGTTTAGGGTTTAGGGTTTAGGGTTCAGCAGCTCTGACTTTGAAGATTTCATGTCAAGCTATTTCTAGTCAAGCTATCTCCAAGAAGAAACCCCACCCGCCCAGAGAATCCCCTCACATTAGATTTAAAAGTCTTATTTCTTCTGGCTTGAACTATTAACTAATAGCTTACATACAACTCAAAGAATTTATTACAGTCCGTAAACCTTCAAACTTTCGATCAAGCAGGCCACAGTGCTGTTCCCTTACAGTCGTTAAACCCTAGAAAAGCTGTGACCTCTCAAAACACGCTAAACCTTAAAAAAATGTTTCTGTCGACAGATTTCCCAAGAGAACTAGTTAAGAAAAAAAGGACTGCCCAGACCAGTTGAAGCTGCGATCACGTCGTCGCTTTACGATAGCAACCACAGCTGTCAAATGTCATGACTTGCATCTCTTCAACTGTCGATCCACAACAAAGAGGTTCGACGAGAATAGCCGTACAAGCTAAATGTTTTGACCCCTGGAGGGGCCCAGCTCTAAAGACAGATATTCTGAGAGCCCACAAATCTGCAGGCAAAATCTGGCGGAAGTGATCCGCCACCGAGCAAAAAGCTTGTAAATACCGCATTAAACAAAGGGCCAAGGATTTCACACATCTGTTGGCAAAATCTTGCGGAAGTGCCCGCAGATGTGTGGGACCCCTAGCCCTTGAAGTGGTAGGTGAGAGGGTGGTGGGAGGATATTTGGGAGGTAAGGTGGGCAGGAGCTGGGGCCCTAAACCCTAGGCCGCTAAACACTGGGGCCCTAAACCGTAGGCCGCTAAACACTGGGGCCCTCAACTCTAGGCCGCTAAACATTGGGGCCCTAAACCCTAGGCCGCTAAACACTAGAGCCCTAAACCCGAGCCCGCTAAACACTGGGGCCCTAAACCCTAGGCCGCTAAACACTGGGGCCCTAAACCCTAGGCCGCTAAACACTGGGGCCCTAAACCCTAGGCCGCTAAACACTGGGGCCCTAAACCCGAGCCCGCTAAACACTGGGGCCCTAAACCCTAGGCCGCTAAACACTGGGGCCCTAAACCCTAGGCCGCTAAACACTAGAGCCCTAAACCCGAGCCCGCTAAACACTGGGGCCCTAAACCCTAGGCCGCTAAACACTGGGGCCCTAAACCCTAGGCTGCTAAACACTGGGGCGCCCTAAACCGTAGGCCGCTAAACACTACAGCCTTAAACCCGCGGCCGCTAAACACTGGGGCCCTAAACCCTAGGCCTCTAAACACTGGAGCCCTAAACCCGAGGCCGCTAAACACTAGGGCCCTAAACCCGAGGCCGCTAAACACTGGAAAAAATCAATTAGCCACGAGTTTTGATCAATTAGCCACGAGTTTGATCAGTTAGCCACGAGTTTTGATCAACTAGCCACGAGTTTGATCAATTAGCCACGAGTTTTGATCAATTAGCCACGAGTTTGATCAATTAGCCACGAGTTTTGATCAATTAGCCACGAGTTTGATCAATTAGCCACGAGTTTTGATCAATTAGCCACGAGTTTGATCAATTAGCCACGAGTTTTGATCAATTAGCCACGAGTTTGATCAATTAGCCACGAGTTTTGATCAATTAGCCACGAGTTTGATCAATTAGCCACGAGTTTTGATCAATTAGCCACGAGTTTGATCAATTAGCCACGAGTTTTGATCAATTAGCCACGAGTTTGATCAATTAGCCACGAGTTTTGATCAATTAGCCACGAGTTTGATCAATTAGCCACGAGTTTTGATCAATTAGCCACGAGTTTGATCAATTAGCCACGAGTTTTGATCAATTAGCCACGAGTTTGATCAATTAGCCACGAGTTTTGACGAGTCAATTAGCCACGAGTTTGATCAATTAGCCACGAGTTTTGATCAATTAGCCACGAGTTTTGATCAAGAGCCACGAGTTTTGATCAATTAGCCACGAGTTTTGATCAAGAGCCACGAGTTTTGATCAATTAGCCACGAGTTTTGATCAATTAGCCACGAAGTCATTAGGGTTTAAATTACTATAGGTAGAGAGGTTTAGGGTTTAGGGTTTAGGGTTTAGGGTCTGGTCAAGCCGTCAGCCGCAGGGTTGAAGACGAAAACAATCCCTGCACCTGTCGCGATTAGACGCGAAGCTGTAGCTCTTGAACTCAGAAGTCCTAAATCCCAACACTAAACGGGTAGCCCCCTAAACCCTAAACCCCAAGCCCTAAACCCTAAACCCCTAAACCCCACACCCTAGACCCCAGAACGCAGCCAGCCTGATGCAGACCACCAGAGTGTCTCCTGACGCTCGTGCCCTGAGGGAGCCTGGGCCGTCACTTGGAGGCCCTTTTGACTTAGTAAGTAGGGTTTAGGGTTTAGGGTTTAGGGTGTAAGTTATGGGGATTATAATAAGGGTTCTAGGGGATACTAAGTAGACTTACTAAGTCAAAAGGGCCTCCAAGCACCTGTATGTTATAAGTAGGGTTGTAATTGGGGTAACTCCATTTAAAGGTACTTATAACTCTACTTATAACCTACTTACTAAGTCCCCGCCGGCTTTTCGGGCTTCAGGGCCCCAGGGGGGCTTTGCGGTTTAGGCTTTCAGGGCTTATAGCGTCTAATTCAAGGCTTATAGAGGCTTCTGGGCTTTAGGTTTAAGGCTTTCGGGCTCCAGCGCTTTCGGCTTTGGGGGTCGGGGTGTAAAACTCTGTGGCCCTTAATGACTAGAATAGCTAGGTGGGGGTTTTAAAGCCTTTGAAAAATATTAGTAAGTAAGATCCACTTAAGCCCAATAAGGGAAAAAATGTCCCAAAGCCCTACCCAGATAGTGGCTTGGGGGTACGTTACAACAGCAGAACGAAGCCTGAGGCATGGTTTTGATAATCGCTCAGGCCCAGAGACTCCAATGTCCCTTAATTAAGGAATATACCGGTTTAGGGTTCCTTTAAAGGGATCCTTAAAGGGAGCTATAGGGTTGAGGGGATAGGGGATTCTAATATCCCTTAATTAAGGAGTATACCTTAAATCATATTAGGGGTCCTAGTATAATTTACGGTATATAGTTAAGGGATAAACTTCTACGTTGCAGAGGCTTGAGCTTCAGGCCTCTGAGGGATGCTAAGGGCTTAAATATAGTTAAGGGATAAACTTCTACGTTGCAGAGGCTTGAGCTTCAGGCCTCTGAGGGATGGGATGAGGGGGCGTTGCAACCACGCCAAGACATGCAAAACCACACCACAACAAAGAACTTGTGCGCACCACGCCAAGGACACACGCACACACTGCGACAGGACCTGCTTCTGCCGAACAACTTTTTGCTTCCCCGGCGGCAATCTGCAAGGCATGGCGATTGCCAGCTTCCCTTTTTAAGGTTCAGGATGTGGTTTTTTGGGTCCTAAGCACTGATGCCACTGGTGGTGTTCTTGTTTTATTCTAAGCTTCAAGTAGGAACCACATCTCCAGCCTTAAAGTGCACCCTGAAGTGCCCAACGGCACAAGTGAGACTTTAGCAGGCTCACCGCCGCCTTCGCTCTGCCAGAACCGACTGGCAAACACGGAACTCGTTGTCTTCTCTGCGCTTCTCCAGCGCACCAGCACGTAGCTCCCCTGCCAGCTTGAGGTCTCGCAACATGGTCGTCTCTCGTTTTGAGTGCTGGGCGAGGCGGCTCGCGTCGGAGAACCTGGCTTGCAGAAAGTCCTCGGCCATGTGCTGCGCGATGCGGATCGCACTCTTGGGGAATTGCGGAACCGTCAGGCA